TGTACTTTTACTCAAGTATGGAAAGTGAGTACTTTTGCCATCTCTGGAGTGGAGATAGAGGAAGTTGGTCAGTCTGTAGACTGCTGGTTAGCGAGACGGTATGCTGAGCTTTATGGGGAGATCCAGTGGATTGTGTGAGCTGATTCTAGAGCTTCACTCAGGGACCTGGAAGATGGAAGTCCAATTTGGATAACACAGATTAAGAGAACTTGTCCATGATGAGCAAGCATGAAGCGACAGTGGAGAGAAAAAACTCCCTGTTGGGAAGAAACCTCTGGCAGAACCAGGCTCAACATGGCGGTCTTCTGCTGGATCGGTTAAGATGAGACAGGAAAAGGAGTAAGAGTCCGGGAGGAATGGAACTCTGATGAAGCTTTAGCTACAATGGTGGAGGAGGGGCTGGAGGTGGGTTAAAACGGTGTCATCTGAATGAAGTCACAAAGCGCATCCGCCGCCTGCCTCCAGGAGCAGACAAGTGCGGATTGGAGGCCTTTTAAGATGAGCTTTGGATGCCGATTGGCTTTCGTGGAGGTGTGGTTCCAAACTGATTGGCTGTGTCGCAGGTGGATGTAGGAGAGCAATCAGTTTCTTCAGTTGAACTTCCGCCTAGGCTCCATTTAGAGCTATGCAAACTCTTACCATTTAAAAATGCAGACAGAAGGTATTGGTTCAATTCACCTTATATGACTAGATTATAAATAAAAAGCTCTGTGCACAGATTTAAACTTTGAAACTGCTTATAAAGAGTTTGCTATTATTAGTGATTTTACTACTTTCTAAAAGGTTTTTGTGTTCTTTTGTGTTGCGTTTTTTTTAGCCATGGAGTCAGCCATCATGGCTTCCCCCATCTCTTTAATAAAGAAGATTGCTTATTTGTATTGAGTATTTGCATGCCTTCTGTCTTCGAATGTTGTTCCCTGTTTATATTTACCAGCAAAACCGAAGATGGAGTAGCTTCCCGGGTATCAGCATAATACTGAGACACATATGTATGCAAACCAAGCCTTACTACGATAAGTGTAGTCTTACTATGATAAGTATGTAAAGGGAGATATAGCCTCATCTAAAGCTTTACTAATTTTCAGAATACACATAATATATATATATATATATATATATATATATATATATATATATATAT